AACTCGCGTTGGTAGTCAATAGTTTTTGATTTCTGCTTTTCTTGCTACCAGTGCGAGTTCTGATTGGCTTCTGCTTTTCTGTTTTCCGCTTTTCTGTCAAGGTGTGAATTCGCCCTTACTATTCTCATTGTAGATAAACCTTTAGTTTCCCGAATATTTAGAACCCCGAAACACAATAGATGTAGTAAGCCTTAAGCCGTAAGAAATTAACCAATGATAATCCATTATTCTTTTCAAATTCAACTGCGATTGGTCCATTTCTTACGGCTTAAGACTTACTACTTTTATTGTAGATGTACTTTTAGTGTCGGTCTACAATAAGAATTTTAAGCCTTACATCGTAAGATATTGACCAATTACAATCGATTATTCTCCTCATATTCGACTATGATTGGTCCATTTCTGCTTAGGCTTAAAATCCTCATTAACCGTAAACCGATACTTAGGTCACGGCTTAAGCGCGGTTCACATAGAGACGTAGACGTATAGACGTAAGTAGTAGAATATTAAAATTTTGATATTTTTCGTTCAGCCAATCACGAGAGAGGTAACTCACCATTCCTATTTTTCCATTCATATCTTCACAATTTCTTACGTCTACATCTACGTCTCTATATAAACCTCGCCTTAAGGGGTTACATCTGTTTGGAGCCAAAAAAAGTTTTTCAAGATTTTTCTGTGAGTACATTTTTAAATTATAATCCACAACCAATATATCAATCGATTAAGCAATTCTTCAGAAGTAAAAAAAAATTTTATTGACATTTTTTCACAAAATGGCGGCTGTAGGACTGCATAAACAATACAAGATTTTTCGAAGGTCCTCCGCGGCGAGCAGTAGAAGTCCCCTAAATCACCATCTGGAAGCATAAAAAAATTTTTTCATGAACTACATGAGTTTAGCTAGTGAAGTACACACGATCATAATTTAAGAATTTTTTCGCAGAATGGCAAGGCTTAGAAAATAAATTCGCATTTTCGATCAAAAAAATCGACTTGAATTTTTTATTTTAAAAAATCCTCTTCATCAATTGTTAAAATCGTGTGTACTTCACTAGATAATCAAATGAAGAACTTACAGTTAAATTTTCAAGTCGATCGGATGAAAACTCTTCGAGTTCTACTGCTCGCCGATTTCGAAAACATGGTTTCGAGAAAAACGCGTTTGAAGTTTGAAAACGCTGTAACTTTTCGAAATCATAATAATACGGTCCATAAAAATTTTTTTACCTTCACTCTGCTATCCCAGCACCATACAATTGCCCTTCCACGGCCGTATTTTGCTCCTCCAGTTCTTTTCTGGTCGATGTAATGCTGCGTCGAGCCTCTTTTGCGATATCGGAAAGTGAGTGTTTGGCGGCTTTGATGCGGTTTTCGTCTGATTCCAAACAAAAATCATATAAATTTCGTCCAACCGTCAATCCAAGTGCATCGTAGACAAGAAATAAGCTTGATAAGCCATCATTAAAAGTGATAATGGCGATATCAATCGCTATATCGAGCACAGTTTTTCCGCTTGACACAGCCTTCGGTGCGATGGACCACACGACCGAATTGAACGATTCGTTGGTATTTTGCGTGTATCCACCCAAGCGGCGTGAAAGAAGATCGTCCGAGCTAAGTTCTTCGTAGATCGGCTTTATCGCTTTGAAAACATCTTCATGCATAGGTGGCTTATGCGTAAAACTTGATAGCAAACCTGAAGCTTTATCGCGTTGCCAAGAGCACCAAGAGTCGACTCTAGTCGGACACTTATCATGTTGCGGTATTTCATCAGAAGATATTTTATGATATAAAGTCGCCCAGACATCATTCCGCATTTTTTCGACAGATTCAGTATTTCTTTGAATAGCAAACCCGTAATAAATTGTGAGTTTGTCAATAAGTTTACCAGTTAGTTTACCTCGGCCCCCAAGACCCTTAGTCGTTTTTGTTACATTACGTAGGCGACTTCCCATTCTTTTCTACGTATGACCAATGCACTCTTTTTTAGAAACACTTAAAACTGAGTCGACAAGGCACACAGGGGATA